TATTATTATTATTATTATTATTATTATTATTCTAGTATATTAGTATTATTATTATTCATTTTATTATTATTATTATTATTATTATTATTATTATATATTATTATTATTACTATTATTCTTATTATTATTATTATTATTATTTATTATTATTATTATTATTATTAGTATTACTTATTATTATTATTATTAATATTATTATTATTATTATTATTATTATTTTATTTATTATTATTATTATTATTATTATATTATTATTATTATTTATTATTATTATTATTATTATATTCTATTATTATTATTATTATTATTATTATTATATTATTATTATTATTATTATTATATTATTATTATTATTATTTTATTATTATATTATTATTATTATTATTATTATTATTATTATTATTATTATTATTATTATTATTATTATATTATATTATTATATTATTATTATTATAATTATCTATTATATTATTATTATTATTATATTATTATATTATTATTATTATTATCTATTATTATTATATATTATTATTATTATTATTATTATATTAATTATTATTATCTATTATTATTAGTATTATTATTATTATTATTATTATTATTATATTATTATTATTATTATTATTTATTATTATTATTATATTATTATTATTATTATTATTATTATATTTCACTTATTATTATTATTATTATCTTACTATTATTATTTATTATTATCTATTATTTATTATTATTTTATTATTATTATTATATTATTTATATTACTATTATTATTATTATTATTATATTATATATATTATTATATTATTATTATTATTATTATTATTATTATTATTATTATTATTCTATTATTATTATATTATTATTATTATTATTATATTATTATTATTATTATTATTATTATTATTATATTATTATTATTATTATTATTGTATATTGTTGACCTGTTATATTTATTTTACTTATTTGGTTAATTGCTTGGCTTAAGGTCATTAAAAAACTATGTTTTTTATTTTTGAATCTTCAGGGATATCTTTCAAGTAAAAGCTCGTGTATTGAGTTTAAATGTCACTATCAAACTTTTTATTTATTCATTCATTTTTGAACAATTAAGAAAATCTGAAATGTCAACAAATCAGAACTGTTGTGGACCAATTAAGAAATTACTTCAGTCTATTTTAATACCCTCAGCCAGGGTATACAGGGTGAGATAAAAAAAAAAACTGCAACAAAGTCAAATGCCATGATTTTTAAATTTATCTATTTATTTATTTATTTATTTTTTGAGTGAAAGCAAAAAATGTCGCAAATAGCATCAAATTTTCGAATAAGTTTAGATTTGTTCGAATTGGTCACCTGTGGCACGAAAATTGGCCTTAAAACGACCAACGAACTGTCACACGCTGCCCGAATTTTGCTCTGCCGTATTTTGGCCCATTACCGGCTAAGCGCTTGCTTGAGGTGATCGACACTTTGGAATTTTTTAGTGCCAACCTTGCTTTCCAAAATACTCCAGACACAATAGTCCAACGGATTGGTATCCGGAGATTTTGGTGGCCATTGTGCGCTGGAAATGAAGCGAGGAAACTCATTTTGTAACCATTCTTGGGTGGCTCGTGCTGAGTCCTGTTGGAATGTCCAAGGTCGGCGGCCAAAATGTTTGCGTTCCCAAGGCTTCCAGAATATTTTCGCCAGAAATTTTCGCGATAATATTCGGCATTTATTCTGATGCCACGGTCGATTAATATGCCATCGGCTGTTATGGCGGCCCACACCATCACCATGGTGGCCAACCAAAGGTGCACATTTTCAGCTGACCTCTTTGGCAAGTAAACACGATCATTTTGTTTGTTAACAAACTGCTGCACAACGAATGTTTTCTCATCGGAGAAACCAAATTCGACAGTTCATCACTTTTGGCCAAGCGAAGCAACTCGTTAGCTCTTTTGTATCTATTTTCTTTCAGTTGCGGTGTAAGTTCTTGCACTTTTTGGAATTTCAATGGCTTTACCCCGAGATCATTTTTCAATATTTGCCGAATGACACATCGCGATATGTTCAGCTCCCGAGCCATTTTTCGGCCACTGCGACGCGGGTTTCGCTTCGATCAAGTCGCTTCTTTACTTTTCGAACTATTTCTGCTGATATTGCTGTTTTTTTTCGTCCACTTCCTTGACGTTGGGCTACGCTAGCAGTATCACGGTAACGAGCGATGGTACGAGACACAAACGATTTATTCACATTTAAATGCTGGAGTGCTCTAACGACAGCCACTTGTGGTTTTCCAGCCAAATATAAAGAAATCACACTATCACGCTTGAATTCCAATACGAATAAGTTTTTCTCTGGAAAATTCCCACCAAAATACTTTTGTACGCTTAACAGCTGTCGGACGAGCGGCTTAGAATGACAGCAGTCTGAAGTTGGTTGCTGTTTTTTCATCACACCCTGTATATCATTTGATACGACAAAAACGTGCCTCATCAAAATAACGGCTTTAGACCCTAGGTCTCTTTGGGCCAAATCCGTTTCAGGACATTTGAAGTCGATCTAGCGATGTCCGTCCGTCCTTCCGCCCGTCTGACTGTGTGTCTGGCTGGGGCGCACGATAATTCTCGAAGGGAGTATCCGATTTGATCTAAACTTTGTGCATCGTAATATTATTATCAAACTTTGATCGAGTTCGGAGATAGGCAATATCGGTCCACTCATTCTGGTACCTCTCCAACAAAAGGTCGAAATTTTCAAAAAAAAAAAAAAAAAATATTTTACTGCACAGAAAGAGAACTGATAATCCGATTTTGCTCCTACTTTACAACTCCTAATATTCGCATCAGTGTTAGGTAGGGTGCAAAAATTTACAATATCGGTCAATTCCATCAAGTACCTTCCCCCTAAAGGGTTAAAATTTTGAATAGCAATAACTCTTATAAAATTTGATGTAAGGGTCCGATTGTCTTCAAATTACACACATCCCATTATTACTACTAACACAAGATTTGCTGTGAAGATGGAATATATCGGTCCACTTCTTCTTCTTCTTCGCTAGAGTCAAATGAATAAATATAATATCGGTCCACGATATTGTATCGCCCATAATAACGGTATTTTTATATTTCGGCATTTTGATAATTGCAGTGAAATTCTTCAACTTCTTCTACTTCACCCCCTGGAAGAGAATTGTCTATATAGGTCCACGATATCGTATATCTTCAATAAAACGGTTCCTCCCCATATTCGGTATTTTGAGTTCGTAATTATCTATGCAGGCCCAGGTCTTCATATAGGCCCCATACATCTGTACCTTCCTATATTCGGTATTTTGACGATTTTAGGTACAATTTTCACCGAAATGGTTTGAAATTTTGTATTTGAAGTTCCTAGGTATATGTACTACAGCCTGTGACGAAAAATTGTTTATGAAAGTCCAGGTCTTCGTATAGCCCCGAAATAACTTACCTCCCTATATTCGATATTTTGTTAATGTTAGCTACATTATTTTCCAGAGTTTCCTATTTGAATATTGTAATGGCTTATGACAAAATTTTAGAAAATAGAAAACTGTCTATGCAGATCCACGTCTTCGTATAGACCCCAATATAATGGCAACTTTCCATATTCGGTATTTTAATGATTTTAACAATATTTTTCAACGTACTTTTTTTTAAATTTCCAAAATCCTTTCAAATTGTGGAGAGTATTCGATGCTCGGTTCTGCCGAACTTACTGTTTACTTGTTTTGCATAAGGTGGTTTAAAATATCGTCTCAGTCAAACAAAACATCATTTTTACTTTTTCGAGCTATAGATTCCACAGAAACTTGATGTACAGATGGCGTTCGTTATAATGAATTGATGATTTTGCAATGTTTGTACCCTTGTAAAAAATATCCTAGACAGAGCAGATTTTATATTACAAAATAAATTAAGTTTTCACATGGGCCAGGCCGCACATTAAGCCGTTTTCTGGAGTTATAAAACTGAAAAATAACTCAACATACAGATGGCGTTAGCTATTATAGTTAATGAATCATCGATATCAATATTCCTACAGGCTTAGACAATTTTTTAGAATTATATAGGTGACAATTTCATAACTAAAGTTTTGCACATGGGGAGGTTCAGGCTTGACTTAACGCTGTTATATTTGTTAATATTCTGAGAAACAAAAGGCGTTCATTATGTGAAGACACGAAATTGAAGTATAGATACGATTCGGTTTAATGGAACAATACTTTTGCAATTTTTGAGCCCCTCGAAAAATATAACCCCTCTTTTCTAAATAATTCAGCGTCATTTTTCAAAATGTTAGCTTTAGCTGAGTCCATTATGGACAAATATTTTTGGTCCTTCTACTGGTTTGGATTCTTTTTTTGAATTTTTGGTTTTCAGGTTTTCTTCTTGGAGTATTACTCAAGAGTATTACTTGGCACAAGAACTTGAAATACCGATGGCGTTCCTTAAGTTTCTACAATTTTTGTACCCTTTAAAAACTTTCAATATGCTTTCCTCTCATTTATTTCGAACATTATGCAAATTTAATCTATTTTCCCTGAGCATTATTTTTTATCAATCAGTCATTAATCCCCTAACCAGTTTAATTAAATACAAGATTATCGATGTAGGGTATAATTAGAGTTCTTTCTTACTGCCCTCTATTTTTGAATGTAGAAATGTAAAAAGCATTATGTAAAATACGGAGTGGACATGACATGATTAACTACCTCTCATTATACAGATCTTGAAAAAATGTGGTCAAAATAATGAATATTCACGTGCACTTTATGAAATCTTTAGCAAAACTCAAATAATCGAACGAAGTAAAATATGGGTCACATTTTTTTGTGCCTCCCTTTTAGTGGAGATAATTTAAATCACTATCGGCTACAGAGCAAGATTAGTGATGCAAGTATTTTACAATATTACATTTGATACGAGAGGGCAAAAGAAAAGGCTTGAGTAAAACAATAACAAATATTGTTTTCTTTTATTTTTTTGCAGCTCCAACCCCGCTACCACCACTCATTATTATCAACGCCACCATCAGCCACCGCCGCCGCACATCATCATCATGAGCTGTAGTTCAAGTCTGGCTTTTAAAATCAACAACCCCGTCTGAAATTTCACTTAGAAGACATTAAACCGTGCAACCATTAACAACACCTCCATTGAGGAAGATCAATAGCGGACTTGTAACCCCAGAATAAAAAAGAAAGAAAAAATCTACTAGACCTGCCATCACCACCAACCGTCACCACCACATCATCTCTCTATATCTCCCTGGACTATGGACACTTCATATGTTAAATCGTCAAATGCCAAACGTTTCGTCATCGAAGATTCGAGTAAGTAATGAAATACATTTTTTTTAGAAATTCTTTCCATTTTGCAATTATCTTAATTTGTATGCAGCACTGCATTTTTTTCTGAATCAGAATTCTTCGTTTGCATTTTTATTCGAATGGTGAGGATTCTAATTAGATTCGAACATTTTCTTGACATTTTAATTACAAACTTGCCTCTCTCCTCGATCCATACAAAATTATTACCTTCTTTGCTTCTGAGCTGAGCAAAACGCTGCAATATGATGTGGTAATAACGAGCAATTAATTTGATTATTTTATGTCCATATTTGTTTGAATTTTTATTAGAATTCGTTTTTTATTATTTTCAAATAAGGCCAGTGGGGAAAAGCAAATCGTCACTTGAGCCACAAAATGCGTTTTATACGTGATGTGACGTTGTTATGAATCCAAATTGCATATTTTTATTTAGATTTTTCGAAAACGGAAAGATTTTGATCTGGAAGATTCTCTAGATACATATATGGGGATAAGAGGGAATGGCGTCGCTTCCTTGTGGAGAAAAGAGAGATTTTCGTTAAAAATAGATTTATTTTTTAATAGACTACTTTAAATAAGATAAGAATATGTGGTGTTTAGGCCTTCGAGACATAAAGGATATATAGCAGAGGATATGTTCAAAATGCCATGCTGTCTGTAAGGATGCTTAGATAGCTATTGCAGATAGTATCCGCCTTGGTCCCAACTTAGTACTTCCTTATGTTTATGTTTATGCCTACTCCCTTGCGGTATCCCAAACATATATAAAAATATAAACAAGTAAAAAAGCAGCTAAGTTCGGCCGTTCCGTATTTCCACCATTTAGATGGAATTTAAAAATTTTCATAAAAATTCGTAGAAGAAATCTCTCAAATGATAATCCTTATATGGGGGCTATACGAAGACAGGAACACGTCTTCGTTATTTATTGTCATAGGATGTAGTACCTTTTACGAACTTCAATTACGAAATTTGAAACAATTCCGGTAAAAATGTCGCTAAAATCATCAAAATACTGAATATTGGGAGATATCGTTTTTTTGGGGGCTATACTAAGACGTGGATCTGCATAGAAAATTTTCCCTCATAAGTTGAAGTACCCATTACGAACTTCTAATACGAAATTTGACGCAATTTCGGGGAATAATGTCGCGAAAATCCTGAAAATACTGAATATCTCGGGGTAGCTTTGTATGGGTGCTCTACTTAAACATAGAAGTATATAGATAATTATCTTTCAGCGGGTCAAGTACTTTGAGAAAATTCAGACTATTCCATTGAAAAAAATCATCAAAATACCGTATATCGGCACCATTGTATGGGGGCTATACGATATCGTGGACCTGTAAATACAGTTCTCTTTTTAAGGGGATAAAGTATTAACAAAACTTCTTGTGTAGAATTTCAGACCGGATATCGGAAGGTAGCGGTATATGGGGGATATACGATATCGTGGACCTATAAAGACAATTCTTTTCCAGGTCGTAATGTAGTCACGATGGACTCCTTATGTCGAATTTTAGACAATTCCATTGAAACATGTGGTTAAAATCATCAAAATACCAAATATCGGGGGTACCGTTGTATGGGGGCCATTCGATATCGTGCACCGATATAGCCCATCTTTCAACTTGACATGCTGTCCGATCTCTTCCATCTTTATAACAGACCTTGTATTGATGGAAATATTGAGATGTAGCAAGTCTGAGTGGAGTCGAATGTTTGAGCCTAATGGATATTTAAAATTTTGACCCTCTATGGGGAGGTACCAGAAGGTGTGGACCGATATATTCCATCTTCACACCAGACCTTCGGCTAATAAAAACATTGTTCTGTGTGTAATTTGGGGCTCTTACATCACTTTTTAAAAGTGTGATAACTATTCAAAATGTTGACCCTTTGGGGGGAGGTACTTGATGGAGTAGACCAATATTGTTCATTTTCGCACCTGACCTAGATCAGATGTAAATATTCGGATTTGTAATGTTGAAGAAAAATTGGATTGTCCTTTCTTTCATTGTACGGTAACATATTGGGTGAAGGGATAGAGCTGGAAGCCCGAAATTTGATATTCAGATCTCTGTTGGTATCTGAAATTTACATTTAGATATGGTGGTACGAAAAGTACTAAACGGTACTAAATTGTTTATTGGCTAAAGACATAGGGCTTTTATACTCAAATTTGATTTTAAGTGATCTCTTGGTATCTGGAATTGGGATAGGTTTGTGATAAAGTGGAAGTGTGTAGTACACACGAAAAGCGCACGGAAAGTACTAAATGGTACTATATTTTGCTTGAATTATATTATATTAACGTCGATTTGGTTTCGCAAATGTGTATTATAATTGTACAAAATGTAAAGAATGGTACTATATTTGGTATTGTGTGAAGGGATAGAGATAAAATTCTGAAACTTAATATTTAGATTACTAACCGTATCTGTGTTCGAAATGTAATGGTGGTTTAAAAATGGGTCCTATATTTATACGAAAAGTACTAAATGGTACTAAATTTGGCATTGGGTGAAAGAATAGGACTGGAATTCTTACATTTGATATTGAGGTTTCTGTTAGTATTAGAACTGAGAAAGGAAGGTGGTTTTGGAAATGTTTACCATAATTGTAGGAAAAGTACTAAATTTGGTATTGGGTGAAGGAATAGAGCTGAAATTCTCAAATTTGATATTTGTTGGTGTTTGTGATTAAGATATGGAGATACCTAATTGGGTATTCAATGAAGGAATATAACCGAAATCCTGAAATTTGATATTCAGGTAAAGTTGGTGTCTCGGATTGAGGTATGGAGGTGGGTTTTGGAAATGAGCACTATAGTTGTTCGAAAAGTACTAAATTGAATTAAATTTGGTATTGGATAAAGCAGAAGAGCTGGAATCACGAAATTTCATGTTAAGGTATCTATTGGTATTTGGGATTGAGATATGGATTTTAATTTTCGAAACTCCAATTTCTTTTTATAATTCCAAAAAATGGAAGAGCATTAGCTAGTTTAGGAACAGTGGTTACTTTCAAGGTTTTTTTTTTTTTTTTTGAGGACGGTTAGTCTTTCTCAAAAGGCCTTCAAACAGTGCCAAGATTGTTCGATTTTTTTTCAAGTTTAAACAACTTTTCTGAAAGAATATATATTAACCAGGATCAGTCCTTTTAGTCTTTATTTTAGGTGACTATTTTAAAGCCTCTGTGAACTTTCATTCAGTGGATTTAAGTAGTTGCATATATTTACAGTTTCACGGGATTTTAAATTTTTTTTATTATTAATATGTAAGTGCTAGTCACGCCATATTTGTTTTGAAATCATGTGGGTCTGTTGTTTTGAAACCTTTTTATATAACAAATTGTCTTATCGAAAATAAATTTGCAATTAGGTGAATGACTCAGATATTTTGGTGACCTCTAGGTCATCGATACTTCTAGAATATCAGCTTTGACTTATACAAACATTATTATTCAAAATAATTTATAATTAAAATTGAAATTGTACTGTTCGCTACTCTTTAATCAGATTTTTTCCGAAGAAAACACAATTAAATGAAAATAACTTTCGACTCAAAAGAGAGATCTTCTGACTAAAAATCTTTCAATTTTCAAAGTTTTCATTTAAGAATATTTTCAAGGTTAAAAATTATATTTTTTGAAAAAATGTTTTTTTTTAATTTCTGGCTAATAATCGTAGTCCTCCTTTTCCTCCTGGTAAATATAGAACCCTTTTTTGGGACTTCCACTTTCAAAAGGTAAAACATCTAATTTTATTGGCTAGAATATATTCTTACCACACCAACTTAATTTGTCTTAGAGAACATTTTCTCAAAAATTAACTTTTGTTAACGAAATTCTGATTTTTCGGTTGAGTGTTGTGTTGAAAAAACTATACTTAGAATATCTACGTTTATTGATAGTCTTTGAAAAATATTAAAAAATCTGCTCCTTGCAAAATATTCTTAAAAATCCACTTATTTTGGCCAGTTGGCACCCTATAAAAATTCTTAAAAAAAATATGAGATAGTCTTTGAAAAGCATTCTTGAAAATTCACATTTATTACAAAGCTGGTCTATGAAAAAATATTCTTTAAAAAGTCTCGCTTATTGGTCACCTGAATTTTGAAAAATGTTCTTAAAAATATCAGATTATTAGGTGGTCATATTGTAAATACTTCCTTCAAACTGAAAGCTCCATTAAAATGTTCCTTTAATTATTGATTTTAGAATTTTGTTAGCATAATTTTCATAACTTTAAGTTGCAGTTGTAGTATCTTTAAATATTCCTATTTTGAGATGCAGTTATATCAGTTATACCTACCTCCCTCCCGCCCTAATATGCCTAATTTAAATTTCTATTATAATACCACTTGACATTATTTTCACTAAGCCGATCAACGTAAACCCCCTCCATTAAGGAAATCTACATACATAGTTCCCGACAGATGATTGACAGTATTTGGCAGTGGTTGTAATGGGATTAGCAACTGATAAACATAGAAACGATAGCGTCATAGGAAATGGTGGAAAACAATATTTCGTAAAATGACGCGACTTTATTTCCTACCACGTTCGAAAAAGTTCGGAAGCAAAGCATCATCAACTGATAATAAATCGATGCAGAATGAAAAAAATAATGTGAATGAACCATGCGTTGCGGCGAAAAACAGTCATCAGCTGATTAATTGCAATTATTCTACAAAATTTCGTCATTATTTTTGATTTCGCAAAAATTAGAAAAAATGATGTAAAATTATAAATTCAAAATTTCGCTATATTTGAGCCTAAAATATATTAATACAATCTCATCACCAATGGGAAAAAATGTGAGGTTATCTTTAATTTCGTAAGAAAAAAGAAACATTTTTTTAAAGGCCTCTATGGGCAAAAATTTTGGATTGCAAAGATTTTTTAAAGTCCCCCTGACCAAACATCGGAGATTTTGTTAAAATATTTGCCCTCATTTTTGTTTCAACGTTTTGGATACTACATAAATCGTGGACCTTTAA